ATTTATAATTGTTATCCCTCCATATAGGAATGTTCCCTTAGCAAGTATGTAGTGACCATCTTTCTTTATTACTCTTGGCTTGAAATCCACTTTGTCTGCAAACAGAATAGCTATCCCAGCTTTTTTTCAGGTTCCTGTCAAATGAAGTATTGTTTTTCATCGTTTGACTTTCAGTCTTTGAATTTCTTTTGAGTTAAATGTGTTTCTTGTATATAGCATATTGTTGGATCTTGTTTCTTGATTCATTCTGCCGGTCTGTTTCTTTTGATTGGTGAATTGAGACTATTTATGTTGACAGTTATAACTGATATGTATTACCTTATCCATGTCATATTATTTTCCTGTTGTAGGTTCCCTTTCTTTCTCTTCTGTTTAGTTGCTTACCTTACTTAATGGATTCTTTCTATTGGTGTTCATGGAATTGTAGTCTTCTCTAGCTCTTTCTGGAATATCTTTTTTTTGGGGGGTGGGGTACTGGGGATTGAACTTGGGATGCTGTGCTTGCAAGACAGGCAGCTGCATCACTGAGCTAAATCCCCAGCTCTTTTCTATAATATCTTGAAGGTTCTGTAGTCTCTCTCTTACTGCATTACAAAGGAAGGTAATGATACCTTAGTATCAATGATAACATAAACTGCAATATATGAGGAATAAAATGAGAAAATACTGTTTCCATTTTAGAACATGCTTTCTATAACTATCTATAGATTTATAACTTCTAAATATAATTTTTTCATGCTGGTTATGTAAACAGATCCATATTACATAAGAGCTTTATTTTCTTTCCATGCCCCAGTGAACCATTCTGCCTGTATCTAGAATGGGGGGGCCCATTTTAGAGAGCTACTAGTATAGAAAAATTGAGCCTGTACTGGAAATGGTAGTGATGGCTGTGATGGCAGTGAAGATAGGGAGAAATAAAGAAATGTGTGATATTTTTAGGTTATGGAATCAATGGATGCTGGTGACTGATTAAATATAAGCGTCTAAGAAAAGGGAAACTCAGAGGTGACTCTCAAGTGTTTGACTGGGGCAGCTCTGTGGATGATGGTGTCATTTATCCCCAGAATTAGTCAACACTTGAAGTGGAGAAAAGTAGGAGGGGGGATCAGTCTGTTTGAGACATACTAACATTGAAGTGTTTATGGGAAATTCAAGTGAAAAACTGAGTAGATAGGTACATCTGAAACTTGGAAGTGTTTGTATTGAAATTGCTGAGAGTTAACATAGTATGAGAAAAGAAATCTTCATGTATACAGTAAAATGAATTAAATACAATGGGTTTGTGTTTTGTTTTAATTAGGAGTATATGGTGATGTACATCGAGTGAAGATAATGTTTAATAAAAAGGAAAATGCCTTGATTCAGATGGCGGATGCAAATCAAGCCCAGCTAGGTACTAATGATTAATGGTGATGTTGATAACCTTTTCTTTTTGTATCTGAATTTTCCTTCAAAATAAACAAATGTGTATCTAAGCAGTATAATTTTATAAGAGGACTTCCTGTGATAAAGTCTTCATTATTAGTTGCTTCTATTTTAAGGTAAAAAATGATTATTGCTCCTTTGAAGTTCATTTATCTACTTGAGCAATATAGTTTCTTTCTCAGGTTTGCTATTAAGTTCTAACTAATAGATATAACTTGTTTTATTTTATTTTTTGGAATTTTTAACTTCTAAATTTCTAGAATTATTGAGTGGCTTAGAAGTTTGATCAAACTTCCAAATGATGGTACAAGAAGGGGTAGTTCCACAGCCTCACTTTTAAAGCAGCTATTAAGTTAAATACCATTCAGATTTCTTGAAAAAATGCTTTGACTAAGATAAAGCTAATATATTCAAAAAACACTTCATGAGTACTTGTTAAGCTCTAGGCACTGTGGAACTTCCTAGTACTCTGCTCGGATTTTATTTTAATTATTTTACTATAATAAAATGAAATAATAATACATTTCTCTAAGAGTTTTTGAATTTAAAACCCTTCAGTCCTCAAGCTGACTTAATTTTAAAAGATTCAGTGAAATAATTTCTGGTAACTTAGGGAAATACTCCTGAGAATCCATTTTGATACTCATACTTTCTTCCTGTAGCAATGAACCATCTAAGTGGTCAGAGACTTTATGGAAAAGTGCTCCGTGCTACACTGTCCAAACACCAAACAGTTCAGCTTCCTCGAGAGGGACAAGAAGACCAAGGTCTGACTAAGGATTTCAGCAATAGTCCTTTGCATCGCTTTAAAAAGCCTGGCTCTAAAAACTTCCAGAATATTTTTCCACCATCAGCCACACTGCATCTTTCCAACATTCCGTATGTACCTAATAACTTACTCATTTAGGTGTCTAATAATCAACAATATGTGTTTGGGTGAGGTAAATACTCTGAAATTATTCTAATTTGGCAGTTGTCTTAGTCACTAATTTCTTATAAAGTAGTTTATTTGCCTTTGCCATCATTCCTTAGGAAGATTCTATCTGCAGTCTAAGAGAACAGTGTTTTCAAACTTTCTAAAATAATTAGCTGCCTCTTAGTTATGAAAGTGCATAAAGATAGGTGTTGCAGAAATACTACATTGGTATATACTTGTTCATTTCTTGGTAGACGTAATGACTCCTATGAAACTAATATAGTAAAAACCAAATAATTTATGTATGTAAGAATTTGGTGCTGGATGTTGTAGCACACAGTTTTAATTTCAGTACTCTGAGGGACCAAAGGAAGAGAATTCCAAGTTCAAGCCCAGCCTTGGCAATTTAGTGACTTAATAAAGCTCTGTTTCAAATTTTTGAAATAAAATTTAAAAGCTGGAGACATAGCTCAGTACCATGGAGGGTGAATGGTAAAAATGAATTCTATACATTTTATCTGCAAGTTATGGATTACTTAAAAACTGAAAGTTAGCTGGCTATAGTGGCTCATGCCTATAATCCCAGCATTCTACACGGTAAGACAAGAGGATCCTAGATGCAAGCCCAGCCTGAGCAATGTACTGACTCAGCGTGAAACATGCCTCAGAAAATTGTTTTAAAAGACTCGGGGGCAGGGGTTTTAGCTCTGGTGCTGTCACCTGCCTTGCAAGCGCAAGGGCCTGAGTTTGAACTTTGGTACTCAAAAAATAAATGAATGAATGAATGAATAAATGAATGACTGGGGATATAGCCCTGGGTTCAGTCCCCAGCACTGCGACGGTTAGGGGATGCTAAGAGGTATTTTCTGTGACCATCCACAGGTCTCTTTCTTAACGAGTGTTTTATTGGTTTATAGTGATTTTTAGTTATCTTCAGCTCTGCTATTGACATACCACAGCCCAAGACTGTTTTTTGTGTAGCACATAAACTAAGGATGATGTTAGCCTTTTTTTATTTCTGTTTTCAGGACATTCTTTCTATATAGTCCAGGCCAGACCAGCCTTGAGCTGTGTATCCCAAGCTGGCCTCAAAACTTAACCATTCTCTTGGTTAGCCCTTGGAGTGCTGGTTTAAAGGTGATTTCATATTTTAAAATGGTTGAGGAAAAAAAGCAGAAGAATATTTTTGATATGAGAAAATGACAAATTTCACCTTCCATAAAGTTTGATGTAAAACAGCTATCATTTCCATAATATCCATTATGGCTGCTTTTAAACTATCACAGCAAAGCAGAATAGCTACAACAGAGATTATATGGCCCACAAAAACCAAGATGTTTACTGTCTGACCCTTTCAAGAAAATATATGGTAACTCTTGTTCTAATCCTTCATCTACAAAAATGTCAATTTTGTATATATTAAACACGTGAAAGAAAGTAAGCTTTGGAAGGAAGAATAAAAGATATGGGAGATACATTTGTGTATGTGTGTGCAAAAATTTAAAGAATGAGGAGATGGAAAGGGTAAAGTTCTCTGATCATTACTGAGAATAAGAATAAGAGCTAAAGGCTGGGAGATGTAGCTTAGTGGTAGAGTGCCTTTCTGGCACACTCAAGGCCCTGGATTTGACCCTCATCTCAACCAAAAAAAAAACAAAACAAAAACACAGTAAATAGCAAATATTAAAAAAACTGTACTGTTGAGTGCCCATCCTCCTTGCTGGTCTGAAGTTAGGAGAAACCTTTAATCTGAATTGGGCAGTGAACTTCATATCACTGAGAAATTGGAGCAGTCATTTAAAAAAAAAATCTAGAGTACACAAATATAGAAATGTAGCAACTCATCATTGTGAAGTATCTAAATGAGAATGTCATTGATAGTGTCTTAAAAACAACATTATATGCAGTAACTGGCCACCAATTGCAATGTATACAGGTAGAAAAAGAAACATCTTAATATCTTTTGAGCCATCTTCCAGGTTCTGCTTATTATGCTGTTGCTTTATTCATATTACCTCACTTAGTTTTCATAACAATCCCTTTTAAAGACAGTTGTAAATTTTACATAACTAAAATTATCTCTGGGATTGAACTGCTAGAGTGCTAAGCTACATCCCCAGCCCTTTTTTAAAAAATTGTTTGAGACAAGGTTTCACTGAATTCCCAGGCTGGCCTCGAACTTGTGATCCTGCTATCACAGCCTCAGTGTAGTTTGGCTTACCTGCACCATGCATGTTAGATTAACTATTTTTAAGTGTACAGTGCAGGGAGCAGTCACATAAATACAGTCACATTACTGTGTAATCACCAACTGTTATCTATTTGAAGGACCTTTTCATCATCACAAATTGAAATGCTGTACCCAAGGAGTGGTAATCTCCCATTTCTTCCTACCTCCAAATTCCATGTACCCATTGTTCTGTATTCTGATTTTATCGGTTTATCCGAAATAATCCTTGAGGTAAGGTCAGTTTCATTTTATTGGTGGAACAGAGACTGAGAGTAATTACTCAAAGCAGTACACCAGCTCAGTCAAGAATAGAATGTGGGCTCAGGGACACTGTTCCTCAGCTCTGCTTTACGGGCCACTGTGAAGTGAGCAGCTTTGCTCCACCAGTCCATTCTGCCATGATGGTTCTGCCTTGAAGCCAGCTAACCCTGGTCTAAAAACTCTGATTAAATTAAACTTCTCTTTTTAAAAAAATGCTGGGTGTAATGGTGCATGCCTGTAATCCCAGCATTCAGAAAGCTGAGGCAAGAGGAACTCCGTGAGTTTGAGGCCAGCCTGAGCTAGTGAGTTCAAGGCCAGCTTGAACTACACAATACAGCCCTGTCTCAAAAAAAAAGCAAGAATGTGAGCTCAGATGTGTCTTTCTGCAAGCCAGTAATCATTCTACACTGTCTTGGCTAGTCAGTTTTGAAAGGGTGAGTCTGTTTTTCATCAGTTGACTCTCCTGTTCATAGACCATTGTGTTAGTTTTCTGCTGCCATATAACAGATGACCCCAATATATAACAGCTTAACACAGTAGTAAAGATGCATTACGTCATACTATTACTGTGACTCAGGAATCCAGGAACTGGGTGGGTTTGGCTGAAGTCTCTCTTATGGTCGCAGTCAAAATATTGGGTAAAGGGCCAGGGGTTTAGCTCAGCGGACCTGCCACCTGCCTCGAAAGCTCAAGGTCCCAAGTTCGATCCCCGTACCCTCCCAACAAATACTGGATAAGGGGCTCTGGTAGTGTACTTCAGTGGTCAGTCATGTAACCTGCATGAGGTCCTGGGTTCAGCTGGTTACCAGCACAGCCCCTCAAAGTAAAAAAGGCTAGGCAAGAGGGCAGTCATCTGAAAGAACATACCATCAAAATTTTGATATCCTAAGGTTAGAGAGTACCTGTACTGTTTCTCTATTCACTATAAAAAGGGAATTCTGAAGCATGTGAATATTAGAGGCTGAAGTAATTGGGGACCATCTCAGAACCTGACTGCCACATATCCGCATTAAATATTACCTTGAAGGTAATTGAAACTGCAGAACTCTAGATTATAACAGACAAGTCAGAGCTAGGAAAATAACTTTGGAAGTACTAGTTAATAACTGAGTCAGTTTTGTAATAATCACTTTAAAAGAACACAATATAGAAAGAATTTTTTGACCTTTTTATATTGGACAGTGTCTTTAGCCTGGATTGAGACAGGCCTTATGTGGTAGCAGACACATATAATCCCAGCTACTCAGGAGGCTGAGACCAGAGGACCGCAAGTTTAAGAGAGCCTGGAAATTTTAGGAAAGCCCTGTCTCAAAAATGGCTGAAGATTAGCTCAGTGGTCAAGCACCCTAGGTTTGTTGTCTAATATCTTAAAA